ACAGCCTGTTTCCTTCTTCTTTTAACCAGGGAACTTTCCGTGATTCTTCTGACTTTCCAGAAGATACCAGCTTAAGTCCAAACAAACATTTGAACATTTGTTCTCTAGTATCAATGTTTGGGGGCCCATCAGGTATCACAGGAGACAAAGCAATAAATCTTAACACTTAGATGTCCAATGCCATATTCAGGAACCTGCTTACAGCAGAACCTTTACTGATATGGCACTGCTAAAATAAGTTGTGTTATTGTAGATCAGAAAGATTATATATGAGAAAAAGATCTACATCCGGTAGAACCCAGAAATCAAGACATATAAATATAGCTGTTATAAAAATAAACTCTGGGCCCTTGGCCCCCATTTTTTTCAAGTCAACTGAATGTGTGTTGTTTCCCCAACCTTGAGAGTCAGGGACATCCTCTTTTTTTGTTTACATGACAGTTCTAGGGAATCCTCGGTGCTGTCTGAGCTTGTTGTTTGAGCATTGATGCTTTTGAATACAGGTGTTAGAGAAGACTCTTGAGAAGACCATAGGTAACCAAGAAGACAAACAAATGGATCATCAAAGAAATCAACTCAAGACTTTTCAATTATTCTACTTCAGATACATTATGTGAACAAAGACCTAGCTGTCTGGAGTAAACGGTAGTGCTGGTAAGAGTGGATGGAAAGAGAAGAGGATGATCCACAGTGGCAATCGGTGCACCACTGGGACACTTGAAGGCAGAGGTGGGCTTCACATAATTTAACCGGTTCGCCTAGTACAGAACCAAAAATGTGAGCGCATGCGCACACATGTAATTCACACGTGCACGACTTCAAACACATGGCAATTTAATGCACGCAACTTCCAGCACACCTTCTTGGGCAGCCACAGTGAGTAGATCAGGCAAGGCATGGAAATCAGCTGACCTGCATGGGCGGGGCAAGCGAGCCAGAGAGTGAGATAGCACTGGGTTGGATGGGTGGGTCCAGCCGGTGGTCGGAACTACCGGTACAGGCAAACCGGTCCGAACCGGCAGCATCCCACCTCTGCTTGAAGGCCACATTAGGGATAGATTGAAGCAGAGAAAATAGTGTCATTAAAAGTCAATACTGACTTCATATCACATATTAAGTCAGCCGATCAATCAATCAGGCAAGCAAGCAGGCAATCTGAACTAACTACCAAGCTGCCAGCGAGCTTTAGGTCCTTTCACATCACATCTTTCAAAGAATAAAATAACAACCCATTTGTAGTATTTTACACCAGAACAAAATTCTAGGTCAAGAAAGAACAAATTCCTAGCCAGAGAGAAAGAAAACTCTTCCAGGATTAAATTATTATGGAGCACACACATTTTCCTTAATGAACCAATCTGGTTAAAAAAATGCTTTAAGGCATTCACAAATACTTTAAAAACAGCAGATCCTCTGGTATATATCTCAAGATGCAGTCAACAGAGACATTTGATTGTCCATTGGGAGGCGGAATAATTTGCCACACCCCTTATTATTATACCAGTATAAGCAAAACCTATTAAAATAAAATACATCAGAGACCCAGAGCTTTTTATATTACAGTGTCACATGAATGGACCTGCTACTATATAGTTTAAGAGTTCCAAGGATCTTTATTTCTCCAGGCTGAATTTTTTAAAAATAGAAATAGAACTAGTTGATAATGGGAATGGAGAAGAAAAGGCTGCTATAGAAGTCTTTAAATGAGAATTCAGCAGAAGATAAAAGATTTCCACATATAAACCAACAGGTCTATTAACTTAACTATTACCCATGCCTACGAAAATTTGAATATAGTCTGCATATATGCCTATGAAAAGCTAGGTTTTTGAAACAGGCATAGGTCCCCTATAGCAATGTGCATATATCTGCACAGTGTAATTTGTATGTAGAGATGCAAATGAAGACCAACTTTGAAATGGCGGGGAGAAATAAAATAAAATGTTTGTGTGTGTGTGTGTGTGTCTGTGTGTGCGTGTGTGTGTGTTGATATTTCATAATAGTGGCATTTAGGCAACTCACCTGACTTTTTTTCCATGTTCACACCTCTGATTATGCCTCTTCCTTTCTCTTTAGTCAAATGTCTTTTGCACGTGAGATTAAGGGTCACATCTGGCTTTAGACTAACATGCCAGCATAAAACCAACATTTGATAGAAATTAAATACAGTGTTTAAATTATCTCCTTTCTCACATAATTACAATTTGGTAGCACTTCGGATACGCCGAAGTTGTGTGAGGCACTGGGAAATGTTGTTTGAATACATCCAGAGGGCTCTATATTGAAGATGACTATTAAACGGGATTTTCACATTCCTATCCAACAATATAAAGATGCTCTTGTAAGCTCTATTTCTGATGATTTGTAGACACAATTATGCCATTTTGCAAACAATGGTGTCTAGGTATTTGGTCACTTTCTATGAGGATATTTAACTTCCTAATCCTAGCATAAAACTTTCAATAATTTCTGGTGGTCTCCCATTCCAGTACTAACCAAGTCCAACGTTGCTAGGTTTCTGACCCCAGACAAGACGGTTAAGACTTGAGGCAGAATATACCTGAGAAGCAGGAAGGATCCAAAGAGCAATTGCTTTGGACCAATCAGGTGAATTTTCTCTAGTCGAAAAGAAGAACTAATCAAATGAGCAATGCTGTCTAAGAGGAAGACCTCTTTTCTCTGCACACCCCAGAAATTGAGGAAAGGTACAGGCCACAAATTGGGGCATGCTAATCTTAAGGAATCTCAGACAACAGAGCCTTCTGGAACAAAACTCCTGAAGGTTCCAATAGCTTTAAGATCTTAAGCTACTGGAAATCAAAGGTGGTCTTCAAACGGTTTCACCCACTTCTGGTATCTTTTTTGGGCCTCAACTTGTTATGATCTCCCCTCCAACCAAAAATTAGATTTTTAAAGTGTAACTTTGTGCAGATGAAAGAAAGAAAAAATCAGGAAAAAGATGGCTGGTAAGGTCTTGCTGGAGAGTGTTTGATCATAAAATGTAATGGAATGTGTGGATGACCTGGATAGTTTCAAAAGCCAAAAAAATGGTTATCATCTAAAGTTAAAGGCCACATAGCTCTCAATTCCAGTTTCCAGAAAATGTAGGTGGAAGGGCACTAATGCACTGATATCTACTGCTAAAGGATAATATTTGGAGTTCAGGGTTGAAATTAGAGCTCCTTGGTACTCTCTGAACCTGCAAGGAAACAACTAAGCTCAGAGAGTCTGCACATATGCCTTTTTGATAGGCTTCTAGGAGGCTGACCACAATAGGACCAGTTTGCTGGGCCAGCTCAGCTTTAATGTTGTCATTAATTATCAGCATTAATACTGAAAAGTGTAAACCATCCCAAGTTCAGATATTTTAGATTGGAGGGTCTATTTACCTTAAATACCTACAGTATTTATTTCCAGAGCTGAGTGAAGGCCTTGGCAAATGACTTTCTATTGCTACAGCCGACTGTAAACCACAAAGACTTCTGCGGACCGTGAGACCACCAAACCTTAACCATTACCATTGTTCAAGTCATTGGAATGTATGATCTGTTTAAAAAAAATGTTGACCAAAAAAAATCTTTCAAGAGTGTGCATGAGGTTTTGAAATTGGTACAAGACTCAAAAAAGAACACGGTGGCTGTAATAATTTCCAGTATTTTGCATGTTGTTTTTTTGTTTACTAATTATAATTATGTGGCGTTTGAGCAAAACACAGACTAAAAGGAAATGCTTTCAGGTCAGAGTATTTCATTTTAGAAACCTGGCACAGAATACGCCTAAGCTTCTCAGCCAAGCATATTTTCTTTGGGGGGAAATCTTCCCAGAATTGTGCCAGGCTCATCATCCTGTTTGGTAGCATGACCCAGAGTCCTACAGTGAATGTGATATTTCTGGTACATCTGAACCCTTTAACTCTTGTCATTTACCCTCCAGAGGGAGGGAAAAAAATATTTGTTAAAAGACAGCTACCTGAATTATAAATCCTGAGATGCCTAGTTCTCGCCTGCCCTCTAGTGGGCTTAACTGCAAATTTATATAAATTCAAAGATAACCTTTCACATGTACATGACCCCTTCCCTTTATGTTCTACGCTAAGCTAATTTTATGAATCGTGACAGCCATTTCCATTCCACAGGACCCATTCCATCAAGAATTGCTAAGCTTAGAATTGAAATTGGATTGTGATGTCAATTCTATATATGACCGGTCAAAAAAGTGCAGATGCTCTTGTTTAGCAACCAATTTTCATTGGCAACTCAGTTATCAAGATAAGTGAACCTGGAACCTGTGTTTGTGATCTTATTTCAGCTTTCATTTGCTTTACACACCTGTTAAAGGTCATAAATGTGAGGACTGATTGTAAAGTTATTTCTCCATCACTGTGATATCTGCAAAGTCACTAAACAAAAACTATCTGTAACTCCCACTGAGTCTACAGGCTCAATGTAAAATATAGGGTTGCTATGTTAATTACCTTGTTAACAATACAGCACAACTGTTAACCTTGTTCATTTATAAACTCTGGAATGTTTATGGTGGAAACTGATTAAAGGGACACTGGCAGTCTGAGTTTGCTCTATTAAAAGAAATCATCCAAGACACGAGTGCCCTCAGTAGAATCCCTCTATAAGGTATTCCAGGCACCTACTTTTATTATCTTTCCTGCACATTTATATTCTGCCACTCTTTTAAATAGGGTAACATGTCTCCTCCACTTGTGGCCCTTCTGTTTCTGTTTAGGTTTCTTCGTTTTATCTCTGAAACGATGACCCAACAGGCCACAGGTTATCTAGTAATAATCAATCCTCTTATTTGAAACTGAAATCACACAACTTCTTCACAGTACACTAGAACTGATCTGAAACGTTGCACAGCTATTCCTCCACACATATTCTTCCTTTTAAAATGTAAACCTCCTCTCCACGTTTCTCCTTCCTGCAGTGTGAAGCATTTTCAACAAATATAGCAAGAAAATGGAAGGACGCAAAAGGACTCCTAGACACCATTTATTTTTCACTTCAGTTCAGAATTTTATCTCCATTGACCATGTTCAAGTCCTTAATTATTCTACCTTTTGATAAGCCCACCTCATTAAAGACTTACTATAATCTGTCTATGTGATACTGTCACTAAGTTAATTCAGACAAGGAGAATATTTTGGAAAATCTACACAAATTTAGTGCCAATACAATCAACGTTTGTATCATGTATATATTTTGCATTCCTGTCGCAGAAGTACATTTCAGTATGATTACATATTTTAAATATTAGCTTTTCCATATGAAAGACTATTTATTGTCTTGCATGCCTTATGCTTCTCACTTGTTCAGAAAATATTAACATCCGTTTTCCTTGGGAAATTTTCATTCCGACAGTTATTGACAATAATAGTGTATATACACAAACAGCTATAGGAAACGACAGTGATTTTTAATCAAATGTAGAGCAGCTTTGGCAACACCTTCTTTAGGAGGATTGGCATCAAGGATACGACATGTTGGATTTTCCATTCTTCTGTAAGACTCTTCAACTCTATTTTAAAAAATACAAAGCATCACCAAATGTACAAAAACTTTGCATTCACACTAAGAGCCAACCGCAAAACTTCCAGTGTAGTATAGACTTCAGACGCTATGAATTGTGATTTAAATACTGCACTGGAAGGATTCAGATAGCCATTATTCCAAAATTAAGCAAACTGATATGTCATCCCAGGTTGTCTGAAAAGGATTTTTTATAGGGCTTGCAAAGCTTTAATTTTAAGCTTTGATCTGAAAGCGAGGCAAATTGTCTCTTCAGAACTGAATGCATCAGTTAACTTCAAATCAATTCAAAGATTTCATGAAGTTTTATACATATGCATAGACACAATTATTAAAAAGAATCTGAATCAGAGCTTGGCTTAATTTTTGTGTTTTCTATCTTTGGATATGTTATGGAGTCCAGCTACTGGACTATAGTCCAGTTTCAATTACTATGGAGCACAATTGCATCTAAAAATAGAGGCTTATCTGACTGAAGTGGTTACTATTTGCAGCTAGTCTACCTGGTATTTTAGGACCCCTCACCCAAGGCAGCAGACCCTGCAAAGTGCGATGTAACACATGTACACCATCCTTCTAAGGGTTTTTTTGTTCACCAAAACCAGTACACAACTCTTCCTAAGATATACATATTTACCATAATTATCAACCCCCAATACACTTTTTCCTTATCATAAAAAGAGCAAGATTTTCATGATTTGCTAAGAAGGAATATAGTGGCACCTTGTTTTGCATTTTAGTACATACTTTTGACGGAAGACATCGTTCGCTTCCAAATCAACCTCTTCTCTTGTTTTCTCAATCCCACGTCCCTGTAGCCTCCGGACTCTTTCTTCAGGGCTAACAGTCAAGAGCAGGACAATGTCTGGACTCAGAAGATCATCAGGCCAGTGATACACCAGGTGATGAGGTGGAGGAAGATTTTGCACATTCCCTGTGATTTCAGTTGCAATTGCGTATGCTGCAGTGCTGTGCCAGTATCTGTCCAAACAAAGGCATCGGTGTGACTTTCAGATGAAGATTGTCTATCATTCTTTGCTTCTAGAACCAATCATGTTTTACATATGAAATGAACTTTGAAGGCAACTCTGCCTCCCTCAAAATGGTCATGGGGAAGGGTGGGCTCTCTCTGGGATCCTTATCTTGTGGAATGTCATCTTCAGGGATCAGGCCTTCTCAGCTGCAGCCCCACTTCTCTGGAACATCATTCCAAAGACTAGAATTCACACTACTCGCTTTTCCGAAAGCTAATAAAACTAGCTTTACTGAAGTCCTTTGAGAGCAAAATTACAACAAGGGGGAAGCCTCTTGTTGTATTGTGACTGTAATGTGGGATATTGGTATTTTAATGTTGCATTTTTGTAAGCTGCCTTGAGTCTTGTTGGATGATCAGTATGTACATTTTAACAAATATATATATGTATATTTTCTTAAGTTTTCGCAGGTACTTACATGTATGGCATTTAGCCTTGTTCGGGTATTTTCCCACCTCATTGTAGTTGTGCTTTTAAAGTTGCCGAAACTTTGCTACAACTTTAAAAGCACAACTACAATGATGTGGGAAAATACCCGAACAAAGCTAAGTGCTATAATATGAATATATATATATATATATTCATATTCATTTGATCTGAATGATTTTAAGGAACACTCACTTTCTCTTCACAAGAATCTTGTCATACAGACCCAAGCTAAGTGATTTTTTTAAAACACAAACTAAGCTCTGTGAAGACTTGAGCTACCTTACAGTACCATCAGCTTTCCCTTACAATTTTGTCAGAAAATAACAGAGTCAGTTGTACAGGTACTTTTCTTCAGACTGCAGTATGAACACCAGCCCCAAATTCAACGTGAGACAAGAATACAATCCATAAACATGGCAGGGGGGTGGAATTCTTAAAAAGTTCATTTTCTGAAATATTAAAAAATAAAATTTTCTTCTAATAAGTTACTTGAATGTAATATGGTGTGTGTGAGAGGGCTGGGAGGGAGGGAGAGAGAGAAATTACATAAAGATCAGAATTAAGTTATTTTGAATGAACAAGACTGAAAAAGAATAAATGGCTTTAAGTCCTCTAGTACCTCTGTTTCTGTATTTATCTCTCCAGGCAGCTGATAAACAAATGCCACATCAAAACACTTCCTTATAATTCACAATTTTTTGTTTTGTTTTATCAGCTTAAAGGATGAGTCATTCTGTGGTTCACTGAGTTTGGGAAATTAAAGTATTGAAAAATCAGGCAAGGTATTTTTTCATTTTACTTATTTAGAAAATTTATATTGTCCCCTATACCCACATGGCGACTCAAGGCGTATCTGTATTTTGACCTATTTGTATCTTAGTCATATGGATGTCAACGTAATACTGTACCAAACTATACATACTATATATAGTTACCCTTTTCATGACAGATGAAAAAAATAATTTGGATGGCTGATATATTTTAGAAATAAACTGACCACTGCATTCTCAAATAAGGTCTAGAAATTTACTTTAAAAATCATTTGAAATTTTTAAGACTCCAAAGGAGCCAAATTCAAGGTATCAGCTTAAGAACCATTATATCCTAATACATTTTTGTAGCAAGATATGGTAGTCGCATTATCCATTATATCACTGGTTGCTTTGGAAGCTCCTCAGCTTCGTTCAATACAGATGGGAGCACAAATTAAAAGCAGAAATACAAGTCCTATTCAGCAATCAGAAAAGTTCATAGTTGTTTTGATCCCATTAAATGAAAATTAAGAGTGATACTTTTCTGCCGTTGCTATCATCAGATCATCCTCATGCTATCATCTAGCCTTTTTTGGGGGAGGGGGGATGTTAATCACTTTTGACCCCAGAGAACTGCGTAGACTAGTCCCTGCAGTTTTCTTGGCAAGGTTCTTCAGAAGTGGTTTGCCATTCTCCCATGAGCTGTTCAGAGCATCCAGTAGTGGGAGGTGCTTCAGTCTCCGCATGTCTAGGCTGGGCTTAATTTGTGGAACGCTCCTCCTCCTCCACGGTACTCCTCCCCAGTGTTCCCCAGTTTTTGGCTCAGCCTCGTGAGAGATAGGCAGTGCTTGTGATTCTTCCTTGGCCGAAACAGGAAAAATTCTTTCCTTGCTAGCAGGTTTGAAGGTTAATCATCTTGTCTTTAGAATACTTTAGCCTTCTAATCCCATTGTGATTTTTCGAAGTTGGCTCGCATTGCAGAGATCGCTCGCATTTCAGGGAAGCGCCATTTCGTGCCCCAAAGCGGCGGGAGGCTTCGACACTGCTCCGCGCCCCCTCCCCACAACCGATGTTTCTACCCCTGCCATTCCAACTGACTGCCGCAGCGTTTCTTTACCCGAACAGCAGCGTGAGCTCTTTGCTCTCAACAGAGTCGTATCGCTTTCCTTCCCCCTCTGAATGCCATTTGGGGTGGAGGATTCAAATACTTAGTACCTTCCACCCTTCCCCGCTGTTTAGCCTCATAGAAAAAGCCATCAGAGGCTATTCCTTTATACGGCGGGAGTTTGCTGCTGGGGAGCGCGCCAAAAGATTAACAGCCGGAGGCCATCTTTTCTTACAAGATCTCATGGCCACGCGCCTGTATTCCATTTCGTGCTGTGTGAGGTAGCTCTGTTCCGAGCAGAGGTTCCCTTCGGAAATACTGGGGACCATTACACCCTCGTCTTGGTCTTTTTCTACATTCGAGGCTATTCTTACAGTTAAATTGTTGGCTTAACCCTGACAGCCCAATCAATCCAGCGGTACAACAGCGAGCACCTAGGCCTGTGTCTGCCTGTGCAGGGAAGCTGTTGAAGGCCTCTATCCTTATCAATCAGGGCCTTTAGGCATTCTCAATTTGGCTGTTTGGTTTCTCAGCACGTAACATCGTGCCACTTAATTAACACTCATATGCATATTGCTATATATACACATACACATACACACACACACATATATTAGTGGTAATAATAATAATAACAACAACAAACAACAATAATTTTCTCTTCAGTATAATATTTTAATATCAATAAAATATTATTACTGAGATATGACTCATTTTAGATAGGCATTATTTCCCCCCCCCCAAAAAAAAGGAGGAAAGGGGGCAATAAAAACATCATCAGGGCAACCAGTCTGTCCTCAGATCAGGCCCTGGGTGTGCCAACCGCCTTCACAGTATTGCATTGTATAACAAGCATACTGCAATTCCATTTTCAATCGAAATGGCAGATGGTAGCAGCTCTCAGACCTCATCCTTGAAGGTCAAAGCCAAATCTCAGCACAAACCTAAGCAGGCTAAAGGGAATTCTAAAATTTCAGAAAAGGACGCCATCAGGCGCCATAACGCTTTACACAAACAGATAGATAAGTGCACATGAGGCGCACAAGGTCTCACAGGACTTCCCCACCTCCAGCCCAGGTCCGTCTACCTCTTCCCACCCTCCTCCTCTCCTAGATCTCTCCCTCTCATCCAGGCGCAGCTTGGCTCCCCAAGGCCAATAGGCCCAAGTATCTGGGACACCGACCACGTGCAGGGCTCCCGAAGCCACATTCACTCCGACGGCTGCCGGTCTTCATCAAGACGATAGTCTTACAGAGGAAGTTCCAGAGAGGATGAAGGCCTGGATGGAGCTGGCAATCCGCCAGGGAATCGCAGCAGGTCTTCAACATGCAGTTATGACCAAGGAATATCCTGTGATCACCGATCATGATTCCCAATCGCTGAGGTCATTGACCAGGTCGGAGCAGCACCATGCCCAGGTACATTTACAAGGGGAGGTCCCCCCCCCAAGGGCCAATGGAGGAGGAAGAGGAGAAGGAGGAGGAGGAGGAGGAGGAGGAAGTGGATCAAACTGATCAAATGGAAGATACTGAATCAGGATCGATACATGACAGCGAGCCCCTGTCAGAAGCAAACCCCTTAGAAAGGGGAATGTCTGAGGATGAGGGCCTTGTTCCTGACCAACCTGTTTTTACAGGCTTATTCTGCCCACAACTTTTCAGATCTCTCTTGTTTAAGGCAAAAAATATTGCACGCCTAAACAAGTCGACCCCTTCTACCACTTCAACTCCTTCGGAAGAGGGACCAGAGGATCTAATTTTCAACCAACCAGTAGTTGAAGCAGAGGTGATCCCAGTTCCTCCCATGTTTTCAGACCTGGTACAGAAACAGTGGGCCTCTGCAGCGGTGTACCCAGCCCCCGCTGGATATGACAGGAAATATTTCAATTTGGCTCCCGATTTCTCAAAATTATTGAATACTCCCGAGGTAGATCAACCTATAGTGGGATTAGCGTCCTCCATTCCCAGTGATGTGCTGGAGGCATTAAAGACGGAGGAAAAACAGGCCGAGCTAGCCCTACGCAGAGCCCATCAATCTGATACGTGGGCCATCAGAGCAGCCATGGCCGCCTCCGTCTTCACCATTCTTCTCTCAGATGGCTCCGCCTCTTATGGGAACATGTCCCTAATTCTAACCTTAGAGCACACCAAGATATTACTAAACTTATAGCAGCTGCTGAATTCTCAGCTGACGCAACTTATCATGCAGTCAAGTTTTCAGCCAGGGCCATTGCTTCACATGTCACAGTGCGATGCTTGCTATGGTTAAAACATTGGCAAGCGGACTTTAAGCACAAATGCAAGCTGGCTTCATCCCCTATTGTGGGAGACAGACTGTTTGGCCCTTCCCTTGATCTGCTACTAATTGAAACCCGTAACAAAAAGAAAATTCTTCCTTCCCTTTTTCAGAAGTCAGATCCTAGAAACGCTCAGTCCTTTTGGAGGGGATCCTTTCGGCCCTTTTACCAGGGATCTTTTTCACCCAGATACCAGAGATCCCCATCATTCAGACCAGGGCACAGCCAGACAGGTCCGACTTCGGGGATAGGAACAGAAGGGGTGGTCAATCCAAAAGATCCTTTCGGGGAGCAGGAAACAGGCTCTTTCAGCATCCAAGATAACTCCCTGGACCCGACCCCCATTGGCAGACACCTTAAATTATTTGCGGACCAATGGGACTCCTCAACTTCTGATTCCTGGGTCAGAGACATGATTAGATTTGGCCTTGCGCTGGAGTTTCAATCCACTTCCCCAGATTTTTTCATGTGTTGTCCTCTCTCCAGAGACCCGGTTAAATGTAATCTCATGGAAACAGTTATCCAACACCTACTGGATATATCAGCCATCCAGCCAGTAGCCACCACTCAACGGGGCGAGGTTTCTATTCACATCTTTTTGTTGTTCCCAAAAGTTTGGGGTGGGGGTGGGGGGTGGAGAGCAATATTAGATCTGAAATGTCTCTTAGTCTATCGTTTTTTAGTATATCGCAAGTTTAAAATGCACACCCTGCAATCTATCTTACTTGGCATCAGAAAGGGTGATGTCCTCACATCCATAGACCTGATGGAGGCATATCTGCATATTGCTATTCGGCCTTCCCACTATAAATTTCTGAGATTCTGTTATAATAACCACCATTTTGAATATGTGGCCCTTCCTTTCAGACTAGCTTCTGCCCCTAGGACCTTCACGAAGGTTCTCGCAGCGCTAGCTGCTCATCTCTGTGATATTCCCGTACAACTCCATTGTTATCTTGATGACATCTTGATTTTGTCATCTTCCGCCCATCAAGCAGTCAAAGACACTCAGAACACATTACAATCCCTACAACAACACGGCTTCTCAATAAATTGGAAAAAGAGTCATTTAACACCATCGACTCGGTTAACCCATCTGGGGGCAGTCATAGATATGGTGGAAGGCAAAGTTTACCTGTCACCAGATAGACTAAATAGCATTCAGCAATTAGTTAAGGAGATCAGGAGTCTTAAGAGGGTGTCCCTAGCTGAACTATCAAAATTGTTAGGCAAGATGATCTCATGTATCTCTATCATCCCTTGGGCCCGGCTCCACACTAGATCCCTCCAGTGGTTTCTGCTCCCGTACCAGCACTCTGGCCGAAGCAACTCCAAATACAAGGTCAGGGTACCATTAAAGGTCCTCATATCTCTCAGTCGTGCAGAATAAACTGGCTGGAGCTTCGAGCAGTACACCTGGCTCTCCGCAGCTTCCTTCCACAGGTACGCAATCAGCACATACTAATATTGACCAACAACATAACAGCCAAAGCTCACATAAACGAACAGGGGGCACACAGTCGAAACATCTCACGCGAGAAGTGGAGTGCTTGTGTTGTTGGGCGGAGAGCAATCTACTTTCCATCAGAGCAGAGCACATTTCGGGTCTATCAAATACACAGGCAGACTGGCTGAGCAGGGCCACCATCGATCAATCGGAGTGGCAACTCCATCCGTCCCTCTTTCAAGAAGCGGTCAGGACATTTGGACAGCCGGTGATGGACCTGTTCACTTCCTCCCTCAACGCTCATCTCCCGAGATTTTTTTCCAAGTACCCCTCGCAAGGAGCGGAGAACTTCAACTCGCTCCGCTGTCGTTGGCTCCCGGGACTTCTGTATGCATTCCCGCCACTTCCACTGGTTCCCAAGGTCATCCAGAAACTGCTAGATGAGAGGGCGGAACTACTTCTAGTAGCTCCTTACTGGCCCAGATGGCCATGGTTTGCAGACCTCCGCAGTCTCTCCGTATCAACACCATGGAGAATTCCGCCAGCCAGGGCTTCATTAACCCAGGGACCCCTTCAACATCCGGACCTTCAATGGTTGCACCTGACCGTCTGGAGGTTGAGCGGAGTTGTCTGAAGAGCAAAAAGTTTTCCAACAGAGTTAGAATCCAAGCTGCCAGGTGCCCCTCAACAACTCGTATCCACAATGTCACATGGTCCAGTTTCTGCAAATGGTGTACCGAGTCTCGAATTGATCCCATCTCTCCATCTGTGGCTCAAATCCTAGAGTTCTTGCAAGAGGGACTTGACAAGGGTTTATCACTGAATACATTGAAAAGACAGGTGGCGGTCTTGGCGTCAGTTCTCACTTGTGAAGGTCTACTTTCTCTTTCCCATCATCCATGCATATGGAGTTTCCTTCGAGGAGCCACAAATTTACGCCCTCCAGTGGTACACCGTTATCCCACCTGGGACCTTAACAAGGTCCTTGTCACACTTACTAAGGGCCCTTTCGAACCCTTGAAATCGTCAAGTCTCCAATTTCTGACGTATAAAGTGGTTTTCCTTGTAGCGATCACTTCTGCTTGTCGTATTTCAGAGATTGCAGCCTTGTCTGTCAGACAAGATCTTTGTGTTTTCCATTCTGACCGGGTGGTCCTTTGTCCTGATCCTACATTTATACCCAAAATTAATTTGGTCTTTCATAGGGCACAAGAGCTGATACTTCCACTTTCAGAAAAGTGGAGGCCTTGTTTGTATCTTTTCAGCCCAGCACTCAGGGATGCAAGGTCTCACCTTCTACAATAGGCTGTTGGCTACAGGCTGCGATAGCGAAAACGTATCAGACTCAATCACTGCAGGTGCCCGGGGCATAACAGCTCATTCAACAAGGAGCGCTGCAACATCGGCAGCGTGGGCCACACAGGCACCAATAACTGAAATTTGTCGAACCGCAACTTGGGCCTCTCCATCGCCATTTATTAGGCATTATAAAATAGATGTGTTTGCATCCGCTGAGGCCTCCTTTGGCAGAAGAGTTCTGCAGCGGGTCCACAGGGATCAGGAGGAGATTCCAGGCCAGACGGAGTCCCTCCCATAGGACAGGCCAAGCTTTGGTATGTCCCACTACTGGGTGCTCTGAACAGCTCATGGGAGAAAGGGTGTTGGTACTTACCTGACACGCCCGTTCTCTTTGAGCTGTGAAGAGCATCCAGCCCCACCCTTTTTTCCATCTGGTGGGGTCCTGTTTTGGCCAACGAGTTGTTAGGGCATTGAGGACGAGGGCGGTTATGTATCTCGTCTTCGCCAAAACTGGGGAACGCTGGGGAGGAGTACCATGGAGGAGGAGGAGCGTTCCACAAATTAAGCCCAGCCTAGACATGCGGAGATTGAAGCACCTCCCACTACTGGATGCTCTTCACAGCTCAAAGAGAACGGGCGTGTCAGGTAAGTACCAACGCCCTCTTTCTTTTTCTAGCATATAGCCACTGATTATTCCAAAAATTCAGAACTGTAATGGAGTAAAATAATCACAGGCAATGGATAATTATAATGCATGATAACTTCCTATTTCAACCTTTCATAAAATACTAGAAACACAACTTGTACAATTAACAAGGCAGCACATTTTTCAAAGGAGGCACTTTATTTTTGTTGAGTCCTTGATGCTTTCTGAGCTTGGTTGTTTTTTGCAGATATTTTATTAACCAATATGTAACATCATCTGTGCAGGTAAATGTGGGGTTTACTCCTTTTATATGGAGTAGCTTGTCCAGCCAGTTTTAAAACATCTGCAAGGAAACAACCAAGCTCAAGGACACCACAGTTCATCTCTGAGCTACATTTTCTTCCATTGGTAACACTTTATTTTTGCAAACCTGTCTAGAATCACTGGTGACTTAGAGGATGCTTCAGCTATTTCAGACGCCATAATGTAGTTAGTCAGTGCATAGAATGCTCTCCGTATGATCGGTGGTTCATCATCAAAAATCTTCCGCCATTGGCTAACACAAGATGGAGGAGTCCTCAAGAGCACAGCATTCAATGAGTCTTTCAAAAAATGAGTCACTGTTGTTTTGCCTACATTTGGAACAGGAAGAAAAGTCACCCTTTGTTATAACACAGCACGTTGATTAATCAAGTTTGCAAGATTAGATCACTGATATCATAGGGAATAGTCCACTGTTTGGATTTCTCCGTCCTATCTGCAGATAAAGCACAGTTTTGCAGAGAACTACCCATCTCCTCCCACTTATGACTCTATGACTGTAACTTTGTTGCTTTTATCCTAACTATTTTTTTGGACTGTTTCCTAGTAGGATTGATTGCCTATTGTACCCTATGACTATTAAGTGTTGTACTTTATGATTCTTGACGAATGTATCTTTTATTTTATGTACAGAGAGCACATGCACCAAGATAAATTCCTTGTATGTCCAATCACACTTCACCAATAAAGAATGCTATGCTATGCTATGCTATGCTATGCTATGCTATGCTATGCTATGCTATGCTATGCTAT